TTGGTTCCGCGGCCTCGGGAATATTGGACTTCAGTATTAAACGAATCTAACCTTTAGTATCTGTCGGCGGAAGGTCGCTTGGCTACAATGAATGTTTTGCAAACATCAAGCCGGCTAGCTAGTGTTTGCAATTCTAGCTCTTGTTCCGTTTTAGTATAACAACTTTCTCAATCAATTCAAGTGTGTTGCTCCTCCTACTCGTGAAAAACATCTCTCTCTCTCTCTCTCTCTCTGGTTTGGCTCTACCTATTCCTACTCATGCGCTTTGTAAACTACCTTGCCGGAGTCTGTTGAGGATTGAGCAACATCATGGTACTGCCGTGTTCATCATTAGCGCGTTTTGAAATGATACTAACATTTGTTTCGCCGTTCTGTCTCTTATGGCACTGAACTACTTGAAAATCTCCGTAATGAAATATCACTAGAGCTTATAGGTCAAACGCATCATCATGCGTTCTGACAGATGTGATTCAACACGCTCGCGGATAACAAACCCGTCCATTCATAGTGCTGGAACATTCAAGCATTTATTCGTCATTTGTTCCGGTAAGTAACCACTAAACTCATGGCAAATAATGAATCTAATGATTTTACAGTCCGGGGCATTTGTATCTTTCAATACAACTGTTACGGTACTTTTCCCTACTGTTGGATTGCATACACACCGCCACCTGCACCTGCTTTTAGTGTATCCACCTTACCTTCGTCACATTAGATTAGCTGCTAGATGTGAGTTTGTTTGGTAACTTGCTGCTGGTATTGCAGTTGTAGCATAAGGAATTAATGCTGTATTGTCAACCCAGTTATTAGTGTCTAGGTCAATACTTAACTTAAAAACTTTGATCTTACCTGTGCTGTTGCAGCATAAACGCTAGTTAATGTAGGTATTTTGACAAGGGAGCTAGTGCCGTGCAGTCCGTTCAGTTATCAGTACCTGTTTCTGTGTTAGTGTAATACGCATTGTTCAGTTTGCATTTGTGTATTCTTGCAGGTCTGTTATGAAATTTGCAAGAATAAAATCTATCTTCATGTTAGCTTTACATGCTTTACCATCATCAACAGCAAGTGCATTATCCACTTCTGTTTTAGTGCAAGCATCTATAGTTAAACGACTTGCTGCTTAAACGCGCACGATTGCAACTAATGTCAGGTTGTTACTAAGTTGTTTCCTTTGGTCTATGCTTTCATTGGCACTCGTCAGTTGCAGAATTGCTGTTCTGTCATTCCTCCACAAGCACCTGCATTAATGTTGGGTATTCAGTGACTACAAAAGTTATTGGTTGCATATAAACCGTTGAAGCTGTCCCAATAACAAGCCTATTTACTGATATGATAGTAAATAGTTGTTATTCAATGCTACGGTCACCTTGTAATGTACAAGAAAGACAAACTATGTAGTGTAACTACTCATGGTCTTTCAGACCGAGTCGTGTTCGGTCTCCTGTTGACTTGTCTCTTCTGTCTTGTGCTATTGTTGAGTAGCAGCACATAGGTTCCCACAGCGTCCTCCTCCCTAGGGCTTAGGGGCTTATGGGGTTTAGGGTGTAGGGCTTAGGCGGGCTTAGGGGCTTATGGGGTTTAGGGTGTAGGGCTTAGGGGCGTATGGGGTTTTTGGTTTAGGGCCTAGGGCTTTGTAATCGTAAGGCTTGCTCCAGCTTGAGAAAGCTGCACAGAGCTTCAACGGAAGTTTACACGAATCCTTTGACGGCTTCAGCGGGTTCGTGGGATGTTATCTGTCTTTTCGCATGTCAGCGCCCGCAATAATAGGCCCCGGGCGGATTGGCAGGTTGGGATTTATTAAGCTTGAGACCCACAGCAGCGAGTAGCTGGGTTTGCCAGAAGCAGGAAATCTTTGAGAACTCGCGATGACCTGCTTTCTTGTCCTGTAGGAGTAGCGTCAATATGAGCCCTAAACCTCTAAAACCCTCCCCTAAACCCCTAAACCCTAAACCCCAAAACAGTTTAGGAGCTAAGTTTGTCGGCTAAGGCGGCTAAGGCTGAGGGGCTTTATGATGGAGCTTCGAAGTTGCCTTTGAGGGCTTCATAGGAAGGGGGTGTTGGGAAGAAGTATTCTAGGCCTCAAGCCCTTACTGAGCACTTCAAGCAAGGCTTTGGCGGGTATACTGTAGTACAACATACCCAAACATCTCTATGGCTGTATCACTACGAACTGCTCAGACCCTAAACCCTAAACCCGGAACATTGAACCCGAAACCCTGAACGCTTAAAACTTAACAGCTTGAACCCTAAACCCCAGACGACTAAACCCTAAACCAAAAACAATACATGCTTATAGTAGAAGCCAGAACATTGGCAAATTCTTGCCTTCATGCCGCTACAGTAAAGTAAGAGGGATCCTAGCACTATTCATCGAAAATCCATGTTCCAACTTTCTGAGGGGGGAACAAAATACCCTAAACCCTAAACCCTGAACCCTAAACCCTAAATCCTGAACCCTAAACCCTGGGGATCGCTGTAGGGATTAGGGTTTAGGGTTGCTTGGAGCGGCCGCCTCTGTCGGGTCCCGCCTTCACCCCCAGGGGCTTGGGGCGGCGTGAAAGTTGTAGGGCTTGGGGTTTGAAGGCTTAGGTCAAGGCCGTAGGGGTTTTGGGTTTAGGGTTTAAAGGGTTAAAGGGTTTAGGGCTTAGGGTTTAAAGGGTTAAAGGGTTTAGGGTTTAGGGTTTGGGGTTTAGGGTTTAGGGTTTAGGGGTTTAGGGTTTAGGGCTTGAAGGCTTTTGGGCCAATGGTTTTGAATTTAGGTCTTCGGATTTCGGGCTGCAAGAGCATGCAGGATCTAAGGAGACTGGGCTGTAGGATTTGGTTGAAAGGGTCTGGACTGCAGGAATCAGCCCCTGAACCCCGAAAGAGTTGGCAGCCTGCTCAGCCGTGTCGGTAAGCTTCCGGACAGCTTTGCGCACGTACTTGCCATAGTCCGTGTCCTGCTCACTCACGGCATGCAGCTGGGCCCCCCAAATAAATAGCATCTACCCCCAACTCGAACTCATCACATGAGAAATTCGGAAAATACGGGATCCAACTATACACCCCAAATAATCAAATCCCCTTATACACCTCTTGTAGGCAGACAACCCTGAACAAAATTGCAAAACCTGATAAGACCCAGACTAGGCTGGACAAAGCTTGCACGGATTGCTAGGCTCCAGAGCAACCAAAAGCCTCCAGCAGCGGACGCACGTTTAAGGCAGGGTTTACGGTTTAGCGCTTAGGGGCTTATGGGGTTTAGGGTTTAGGGCTGAAGGACTTCGAGACTGTGGCTCTTTTTGGTTCTTGTTGCAGGAAACTTCTGGAAGTTGCCAAAATACGAAAAGTGTACTGCTATGGCATCGACTGCGGCCACAGCCCTGGCAAGTGTTCCTTCTGCCCTACCTAGGCCCATAACCTAGGGGCCTTAATGATTAGAATAGGGTTTTGGGGCCGTTATACTATAATTAGAATAAGGAGCCCCCAAAATAGTATAGGTAATCATCTAGGCCCCCACGGGAAACCCAAGTCTTCCCAGGATAATAGTCAAAAAAAGAATAGCAAGACCCCCTGTCTCAGGGAGACCAAACCCCTTGCAGGAACCCGTAGGGGCCTTAATAAATGTAATAAGGGTTTTGTGGGGTATATTCTACTAAAACTGTAATACGGAGCCCGCAAAATAATATAGGTAATGATTTCGGCCCTATGTTACACTTATAGACCCTTCAGGAACTCTCATACATCCTCATATATGCTTATAGGAGCCTTTGAACCTTTAGAATAACCCTTAACGGAACCCACTACAACCTTCAGAAGAAAGCCCGATCACCTGCAACACCTCGAGCCCGAACTCCTGATGACCCGGTGTACCTGTACCCGAAAAGACCTACCTTTTTAAGGAACTATACACAGAAACCATCATAGTCAACCCTAAAAAGGTAGGTCTTTTCGGTTACAGGTAGGGTTTAGGTATTCGGGACCCCAATTGATGGCGGAACCGTGCATGTCCTCGGAAATCGCATCCGCTCGCTTCTGCATCTGGGGCAAGATCAGCTGGCGGAACGTCGGAAGAAATCCTGCAGTCTCCCGCCGGTAAGCATCTCTTGCCGAGGCTAAACCCTAAACCCTAAACACTGGACGTCAAGCTTTCAGCCATAAGACGTTGGGTTGAGAGCACAGAATACCGGACCTAGAAGGGCTTGGAGTTCAGCGTTTCGGGGGCTAGGCCGGAGTAGGATTTGCGCTTTAGCAAGTACGGGGGACCCCAACAAAATCTTGCAAATAAGGATCCTGTAACGAGGATTCCACGTACATACCAAAATATACATATATACAGAAGAAAAAGCTCCAAACCAAACTCTCCGCTAATTCTGATTGACAACTCTCTTTCTGCAATGGCCATATCATTCGGATCCCTACTACAGTTTGTTTGAAGGCAGGGAAGATTAACTGGGGGGCTACATTGTGCTAGCGAGTTCCTGAAACATGAATTGCTTAATGCAGGAGCCGTGCAAAAAAGAGAGTATGGAATAGGGTTTTGGAGGTATGCTGCAGTAGACATATGAAGTGAAGCTACAGCTGACTATTCAGGCCTCTATATTGGGTGCATCTCCAAGGGTATTTTCAAGCATGCTCTAGGCTCAAGATTGTGGCTCCGTTTAGGTCTCCTAAGTATGTGAGAACCCACAGGTTCTGGGTTGGAACAGACCGCCTGTAGACTGTAAACCCTAAACCCTAAACCCTAAAGGGACCATCAGTTCCAAAGTCGAAGCGCTGCCTGGGAGTTCCTTGCTGTGACACCTGCTGCAGTGAAGCAAACCACGAAAACCGAAGCCCAAAGGCCCTACACTCATCGTCTACCTGAAGGAATAAAGTGAATTATGGGAGTTCGAAGGCAGGGATGCAAGAAGACCTACTCTGTTGAGAGTCCAGTACTACTATGTAGGCTTTGGGGCTACAGTGGCAACAGGTAAAACCCCAAACCCGAAACCCTAGACCCTAAACCGGAAACCCTGACCCCCTAAACCCTAAATCCTAAACCCTAAACCCTGAAACCCTGAAGCCTGCATGGGAACGTGGGGCTTGGGGCTTTCGCTTAGCGGTCTAGGGTTGAACACTGTTTAGGGCCTGGGAAGGGAACAGAGGGGTTTAGGGTTTAGGGAGTTTAAACCCTAAACCCTAAACCCCTAAACCCTAAACCCTAAACCCTAGGGAACCCTAATTTCAATCCCTAAACCCTGGAGGCTTCAGGGCTTGATGGCCAAAGGGCAGCTGACTCGAGGCCCTCTGTCCTGGCTCGACGCTGATGCGCTTGAACCGCTGGCTGCACATGAAGGTGCTCATCTCGATGCAGTCCTGCAGTTCCGGGTTAGTAGTTGAGGGGTTTTGGGTTTGGGGCCCTAAACCCTAAACCCTTACCCCGAAACCCTAAAACCTGAACCCTAAACCCTAAAATTCCGGGTTAGTGGTTTAGGGGTGACGGGTCACGGTATAGGGTTTAGGGTCTTAAAGCTCCGAAGCAAGATACCTGCTCCAAGCAACACCATGACTTAGGGTTTAGGGTTTAGGGCTTTGGGTTTAGAGTTTAGGGCTTTGGGTTTTGGGATAAGGGTTTAGGGCTTAGGGTTTGAGGCTTTCCGGCTTTGGGCCAAAACCTGAAATCCAAAGCTTCTTGGAACTGGGGTCCCCAGTAGCCCCTTAACTAGGGCCCCCAAAAAGCACATAAGCAAAAATTAGGATCGGGATGTCCCATATAAACCCCCTTATAATGAAGCCCAATAAGGTAGGGATATCCCTATAAAATGCTTATGCTTATGTCCTTTTTGGGTTCCCAATTAACAACAAGGGTACCCTCTCTTCTACTGTTTGGTTTGAGTACGGGAGCCCAAAAAAGAAAAAGGGCAAGCGGGTTCTACTCAGGAACCTAGGTAAACATTGCTTAAGATCGGCCTGAGGCCGAAACCCTCAATCCTCCAAGCCTAGCGCTGCTTGTAATTTTAAGGGTTTAGGGTTTAGGGGGTTCTGGGTTTACGGGTTTTAATTTTAGGGGTTTTGGGGTTTAGGGTCCCTGATACCGAGGTCCTAACACCTCGATCTATTGCCGAGTTTGGCTCCGGGGCTTAAACTTTGATGCTGCCGACCAGTAGTGCGTTGGGTTCGGGAGTTTTTTGGGGTGAAGGGTTTGGGGTCATGGAGGTGGGGAGGGAAAAAGTGTTGCAGAGGGACCAGCAGGAGCTAAGAAGAACCTTTAAAGTAGCAGACTGGAACTGGGTGCTCCGCCCTTATCCTTCAGTGCTACGTAACGGACGTACTTTGGAAAGCCGAAACACCATATCTTCAACCGCTAACCTTCAGCAGCCTAAACCCTAAAACCCTAAAGCCCCAAACCCTCAAAAACAAAACTTCAAACTCTGCGCCCCAAACTCTCAAAACCCAAACTCTGCGCGTTGTCCTGCCACTCCATCCACGTGCGGACCTGTTTGATGTCCGTGCAGTTGTTGAAATCCTGCTTTTGGGCAGGCTACTTTGTCTATTTGCGGGTGAGATTCTGGAGCTGTTTAGGAGCTTAAGGCTAAAAATATAGGGGCCTTATTCATTACCTATAGTATTTTGGGGAGGTTCCTTCTTATCTTTGCAAAATAATATACGCAAAACTGTTGTAACTATTCAGGTTTCTACAGTATACTTTAAGGAATTCGAAACCCGAGGCCCCGACCCTTGACATGAAACTAAAATCAGACCCTAAAGCCCCAACCCCTAAACCGTTCACCCCAAACCCCAAATCCTAAGCCCTAGGGGGCTTTACTAACCCTGAAACCCGAAACCCTAAACCTAAACTTCTAAGGCCCGTCCTGCTCGTTGTAGACGAGCTTGTAGGTGCCTCCCAGCGGTCCCATGCCGTCCTTGGGCTTGGGGTTTAAGTTTTAAGCCCCACAATTCATAATACAGGCCCTTAAAATGCCTTAAGCTTCCTATGAAACCCTACAAAGCCCTATAAACACCGCAGGCCCTCAGAAATGAAAAGTCTTATCAACACCCCTTCAAACCCCAAACCCTAAACTAAACCCTAAACCCTAAACCCTAAACCCCGAAGCCTGAACCCTCAACCCTAAACCCCCAAGCCGCCAAAACCCTTCGAGGCCTAAACCTTGAACCAATGAAAACCCTAAACCCTAAACCCTAAACCCTAAACCCTAAACCCTAAACCGAACCAATGAAAGCCCGAGCCACCGGATCTTCAGGCCAGCGTGCCACCCACGGGGTGCAGTCGTCGTGAGCCCGCAGGAACTAGGATCCGCTAGCGGCTTCAGGGGCTTCTAGGGTTTAGGGTTTAGGGGTTTAGGGTGTAGGGTTTAGGGTTTAGGGTTTAGGGTTGAGGGTCTAAGGGTTTCAGGGTTTATAGGCTTTAGGGGCTTGAAGGGTTTAGGGTTGAGGGTCTAAGGGTTGCAGGGCTCATAGGCTTTAGGGGCTTGAAGGGTTTAGGGTTGAGGGTCTACGGGTTGCAGGGCTTATAGGCTTTAGGGGCTTGAAGGGTTTAGGGTTTACGGGCTTATCGGGTTTAGGGGGTGCTTGAGGGGTGCAGGATTAGGGGATTTCAGGGTGTATGGGATTTCAGGGTTTAGGGCTTGTCGAGCTTAGGCTGGGATCTATAAATAAAGGGTTCTGGATGACTTTCGGGTTGAAAGATTCAAGTGTCACGGGCGTAATGTAGGGGTAATAAATAATTAGAAGAGGGTTTGGGGGTATATTATTATGCAATAACCATAATATAAGGAACCCCCACACTAGCATAGGTAACTAGTTAGGCCCCTACACTCGCGGCGAAGGGTTTAGGGGGCTGGTGTGTTCGAACCTCAGGTTTCGGGTGTAGGGTGTAGGGTTTCTGTTTCAGAGCGAAATCAGGTAAGAAGCACCCTGGGATCCTCATACACCTACTATAGACCCTAAACCCTAAACCCTAAACCCTAAACCCTAAACCCTAAACCCTAAACCCTAAACCCCCTATATGTGCCCTTAAGGGCCCCTGGAAAGGCATAGGGGTCCGTATTAGGGGCCCATACTTAAGAATGGCGGCGACCGTGAAGGCTGCCTGGTTAAGGATTGCAGTGAGGGTGTGGACTTTATGCAAAAGAAAGACAAGTCACAGAACCAAGATGAACCGTAAGCCACTTCGCGTTTAGGGTTTGAGGGTTTAGGATTTAGTTCAGACGTCCGAGCACATAGGTGCAAAGACTTGATTCTGCTGCCGTAGGGCCCTCTAGCAGAGGTGACCCCTAAACCCCCTAAACCCTAAACCCTAAACCCTAAACCCTAAACCCTAAACCCCAAACCCCGAAACCTCAATCTCAACTCCTCTGACTCACTGCCCTGGGCTATTGGAACTCTCGAGTTGTGCTTACCCATTCGGCCCGCCTAAAGTCAGCTAAGGCTCGGGCAGAGCGTACGGCATAAAGCTCTTTGGGGATGAATAAACAGCATCCCTATGAAGTAAACTAAGTTCATAGATAGGGTTCGCGTTTCTTTATGGAACCAGGTTTAGGGCTCCGGGGGTTTAGGATCTGAGGTTTAGCGTAGGGGTTTAGGGGGTGTAGCTCGGTGTCAAGCGAAGGCAGCATGATCAGCCTTGATCAAATGAGCCCCAAACCCTGAATATTTTGGGTGTTAGGGTTTAGGGTGTAGAAAAGGTCAGAAAGCCCAGACTCTCGTTCGGCCCCCAAGCACTGGACTCCGTCGAAGCAGCTGTCAACACCCTCGGCCCCAGTATCGTGACCCCATTGGACCCCCAAACCCCGCATCATGAGTCTGGGCTCTTGTTAAGGAACTTGATTTACGTTACCATGATAAGGGTCCATAGTAGTAAAGTATTAGGGTTTCCTTGTTATGGAAATTGAAATAACCTAACCCCGTCTCTCTGACGACCTGACATCCAAAGCGAAGACTCCACAACACTGCGACCTCCTCGAAACCTCATTGACATGAATGCCCCGCACGCCAGGCTCGAGAGTGTCAAACCCTGACCCCCCTCCCCCGCCGCCAAAACAAACTCTAAACCCTTCACCTCTCTACTCTAAACCCTAAACCCTAAACCTCTAAGCCCTAAACCTCTACCCCTAACACTAGACCTCTCCACCCTAAACCCTAAACCTCTGAACCCTCAACCTCTCTACCCTAAACCCTAAACCCTAAACCCTAAACCCTAAACCCTAAACCCTCAACCTCTCTACCCTAAAGCCTAAACCTCCAAATCCTGACATTGCGGCCCTGGGCGCCGTTGAGTAGGTGTCGGTCTCCTCGTCGCACTCACAGGTGCCACTTGTGTCCATGCAACAGCGGTCACAGACGCTGGCCGTGGTGCCCTTGAAGTACCTGAATGGGGCTTAGGCTTCAGGCTCCTTAGGGTTCAGCGTCTTCGTCTGGTTTGCTATTTTGGGGTTATCGTCTGGGACTACCATCTGCTGTTCGTCTCCCTTAGGGGTCTCTTCGGACCTCCGTACAACTTTGCATCTCGGACATCCGAGTTTTGAGGTTCCCTAAAGTGCTCAGATCCTTGGGATAAACCTTACACCCAAAAATCCGAAGCTGGAGGGCATGTGGTTTACAGGCTTTTTGGGCTTGAAGGCTTGAAGGTTTAGGACTGTTTAGGTTTAAGGATCGTATGTGACTGTTCGGGTTTTGGCGGTTGGCTGTTTAGGACTTCTGCCTTAAACCCAAAACCTCGACCCAAGCCCTCAAGCACACACTTGGCCAACTAATAGCCTCCACCCAAGCTGTCAAAACTGCCCAAATCTTTTAGGTACTCAGCGCAATCCAAAAGTCGTTCATGAATCTTAGGTTCCCAAGGCCAATGTAATTATTGATGCTTCTCTATGTTCATGATTCTTGGTAGCCGTCGTCGTGGCCTAGGGCTTAGGGTCTAGGGTTTAGGGTCTAGGGTTCAGGGTTTAGGGCCCTGTATACTATAACTATTTTGGTGGTTCCTTATGATAATTAAAGTAAGATGGGCCCCAAAACCCTATTCTAATTATTATAAGGCCCCTATATTACAGAACCATGCAAAGCCCTGAGGCTAAGAACCCTGCATTAGGGTAATTCTCGAAATCAAGGTCCTTTTGGGGGTTCTATTTCTAAGGGTGCCGTACCATACTGGGGACCTAAAAAGGGGCCCTAATTTAGAGAACTACCCATATAGAACGCTTATAGAAACCCTTGTAGAACCCCTATACATCTCTTATAGTACGGCACCCTCATAGAAAGGACCCGCAAAAAGGACCCAAATTTAGAGAACTACACATTAAATCTTGGATCGGAGCACTCTTTCTCGATGCACGGGTTGCCCTTCGCCATGTGGCTCTTACTGCCGAAGCGCTCGCTTGTCCTGACTTAAGGTTTAGGGTTTAGGGTTTAAGGTTTAGGGTTTAGGTCTTTGCCGGTGTTTGACTGATATTTTGGTGGTTCTGCTACCAGTGAGTCCTTGTAGTGGCGGCTGTAGTGATACTAGAAGCAGGAGCGGAGGAGGGATGCAATGGCATTGTCACATGGACAGCCGAGCCGAGCCCTACTAGCCTAAAACTCAGAAAACACCCTTACCCTAGAATTCTAGCCCTATAGGTCGACACCCTAAACCTTTGCAAAAGGTCCAGTGGGCAATGGGCCAGTTGGCGAAGAGGCCGTTGGTCACCTCGCGACTGTCACGACCGAATTCGGGCTTGGTTACAACTTTAGGAGTTAGGATTAGGGGGATCCTTGGGGGATATAGACCCTCTCAATAAGGTCCCTTTCAAGAGCCAAACGTAGGGTTAAGCGGGGTCCCCTTTAAGGGGTCTCCCTAATACTACGTAGGAAACTCACAGCTCTCTCAGAGCTCAGAGCCTAAAGGCTTCGCGGTTGTGAGTTGAGGGTTTCGGGGCTTAAGAGTTTGGGAATTTAGGGTTTAGGAAGAGTTAGTCGCTAGCCATCCACGTAGGGTTTAGGGCTTAGGGGGTTTAGGGATTCGGGGATGGAACCGGGCATGTTGGAGTAAACCCTGCAATTATGAACCCTAAACCCTAAACTCTAAACCCCTAAACCCCCGAACTAAAGCCCTGAACCCCCCAAAATAGGCCCTGAACGCTCAACCCCAAACCCCCATCTCAGACCGGACATCTCCGTCCGGAACCCTCTAAGCCAGGGCTTCCGGTGCTGGAACCCCGCCGAAAAAAAAAGAAGAACGGTTAATGGTCTAGATTTTAGTTTGCAGGGGCTTCTAAGGTCTCCTACATCAGCCTACTAATCCAAAGCCCTCTTCCATCTTAGATACTCAAGCCGCAGCTACTCGAACCTACTTTTGCTAGGTGCCTTGTGCGCTTGGCTACATCAGGACTCCAAACCCTACACCCCCACCCTGAACTCTAAAACCCAAAAACCCTAAAGCCTAAACCGACAGCCTCAAACCATGAACCCTACCACCCGTCCAGCTGGCGAAAACTAACCCGAGTAGAGGAGATTTGTTCAAATAGAATAGGGTCCAAATGAGGGTTTAGGGGTTTGGGTTTAGGGGTTTTTAATAGGGTCCAGATGAGGGGTATCAATATCACAGCATGATTATGCGGGGATACGAGCACCACCACTAAATTTGAGACCTCTAATAGCAACCCTCCGCAACACTTTCTGCCTGATAGTTGGCCATGCCCATGTTGCCGTAGTAGTCACCGAAGTAGTTGTTGGTGAAGATGCCCCTCGGTTGCGGGAAACCCTAAACCCTCGGTATCGTCCAACCCGTACAGAGAAGGGTTCACGGGAAATCACCAACAGGAGCTTCAAGAACCCGGTGTTAACCATGTAGGGGCCTGAATCATTAGCCAGACTACTCGTCAGGGCTCCTTAATTCATTACACCGTAATACACACCAAGAAACCCTAGTCCAATTACTCAGGGCTCTTTAACGGCCTTCGCAAGGGTCCTGTACACGTTGCTCTTCGCAGACATGTCGGTTGGATAACCCTTTCCTCTAAACCCTTAGCCAACGAGCTTCTGGACCTACGATGAATCTGATATCTCCCTCATGGTCAACCTCGTCCCTAAACCCTAGGGGGGCCACGTATATTGGAAGTGCCCAGAAGTTAAAGCCCTCCCGTCGACAGAGCCAGTGCCAATCCTCAAGCGAAAAAGAAGACAACAAAAAAAGCGCGGGCATCTCTACAGGGGTTTGGGATTGGGGATTTCCGGTTTTTCTGCGTGCAGAGCCATGATGCTTGATAGGGTCCATTTCATACTTGCCGCCCTGCGCGTCGTAGGCCATGTTCCAATATGGCATGGCCTGTCAGTGTTTGGGGCTTCGCGTAAAGTATGGGATCCTGAATCCTAAACCGCAAAGAGATCGGGTTGAGGCTTCACGGCTACGTTTGCAGCAGAGAGCGACCGCACTTGGTTTTGACATGCATTCCTCCGCTGCATTCGTTTGTTTGGGCGTGCTCAAATCCCTAACGGGAAGAATCAAACGCCAAAATACAAGGGCAAGAGTGCAAAAGCTATGCTGTTCAACTAATGAAATGCAAGCGTTTCTTCATGCTTCACATCAAACCCGCCCCCTGTCAATGCCCTCCGCTAGAAAGCACTATAACAATAAACAACAACTTTAACCCTCAGACCCTGAACCCTTAAACCTTAAACCCTCACCCCTTAACTTCCGTACAATACCTCGCGAAACAGCGAAAGACACTGTCAATGCCCTCCGCTAGAAAGCACTATAACAGTAAACAAAAACTTTAGCACTCATACCCTCAATCCTTAAACCTTAAACCCTCACCCATTAACCTCTGTACAATACCACCCGAAACAGCGAGAGACACTGTCAATGCCCTGCGCTAGAAAGCACTATAATAGCAAACAAAACTTCAACCCTCATCGATACCCCAAACCCTCAAGCCTTAAACCTTCAACCCTCAACCCTAAACCTTCAAACCCTTAAGCCCTTAAACCCTCACCCCCAAACCTTCATTCCCAGGCCCTCGACCCGCCCTAAGCCGTGGAGGTTTCCCCTTTACAGGAACCCTCACAGCCACAATGTAGGGGCGTTAACAATTAGAATAGGGTTTTGGGGCCCTTTAAAGTATAAGTATAATGAAGAACCCAGCAACATAGTGTAGGTAATTATTAAGGCCTGTATACGGTTTCCCTCTTCAAGGAACCCTATGATAGAACCCTAAAGCACCTTTGAAAGGTGAACACCAGTAAAGAAGCCTTTAGCAAACCCTAAACCTCAAACCCTAANNAAGGCTAAACCCAAAACCCTAAACCCAAAACCCTAAACCCTCAACCCCTAAACCCCTAAACCCCTGAACCCTCAACCCTAAACCCTCAACCCCAAACCCCTAAACCCTAAACCCGGGGCTTTTAAAGTCTTCTTGCTCGGAGCCTCGATTGAGGGGTCCACTGCAAGCAGGGACAACTCGTACCTAAGCTTGCATGGGCGTTCTTTGGGTGTCTTAGGGGTTTAGGGTTTTGAAGGGTTTAGGGTAAGTTCAGGGTTCAGGGTTTAAGGGGCTATGGGTTCTGGAGTAGGGGTCTTATAACTGCAAGGCGGGTTCTAGGGCCCCTAAGATGGTATCAAAAACCTCGGATTTTTTTGCTTATAGGGCACATGTTGCCGCGAAAGGACATTACCAAGTGTTCATAAGGTAAAGGGTATGCCGGGTACGCTAGGGGGGCTATATGCTTTTCATTAGGGTTATGCTGGATTCATAGGGTTTTGGGACTGTTCTGTTGGGCGTGCGCGGTTTAGGGCTTTGGGGCTTAAGGTGTGTAAGGTCTTCGGTTTAGGGCTTTTAGGGTTTAGGGTTTAGGGTTTAGGGTACTTGGTTTGGGCCTCCTGCTCCTCCTCCTCCTCCTGCTCCTTGGAAGATACGGTTTAGGGTATAGGGATGTTAAGGGTATTCCCTGCCCAGTTTCATCTCCATGCCCCGGATATCTTGGCGGGGTGGAGGAAAGGGAGAAGGCGGCGATTAACCCTGTCACAACCCGAAACTCCAAAACCTCAAAGCTTAAACCTCCAAAATTCAATAACCCCACACCGAAACCCATTAAAAAGATGCAAAGACCCTTCTAAACCAACAACTTCAAAGCCGCCGAGGCCCCAAACCCGACACTCTAAACTTGCTTTAGGGGTTTAGGTTCTAGGGTTTAGGGTCCAGAATTGAGGGTTTAGGGCTCTACACTCCGCTTAGACCCCTAAAGCCTAAACCCTAAACCCTGAACCCTGAGCCCTAAACCCCTACCTTAAGAACCTAAAACCCACTCTTTTGTAGGTTCTTATTATAAACCCTAATATGGGATTTATAGGGACCCTACAACTCCGAACTCCTGAAGCCTGAGCCAAGGCACTTCAGCAGCAAAGCGCGGTGGAAGGTCATGAACTGAGGGCCAAAGTGCCCCTGGTCGCCTTGCCGTTTCGAGGGTTTTCCGGGCCTCCTTTCAAGAACCCTGAACTCTGAACCCTTCAAGGCGTTCCTTTTGGGTTTAGGGTTTAGGGTTTAGGGTTTTAGGGTTTAGGGCTTTTCGAAACCTGAGCCCCTTAAAGGGATTTGTTTTGAAAACCCTGAGCCCTCAAATTCATTACTTGCAGCAGCCCTAAGCCGACAACCCTTTAGGCCCAGAGGCTCTAGGCTGTAAAGGAGGGTTTCTTAGCAAAAGCGGTGGGGGTATCCGTTTAAACAAGAGCCTTACGATTTACCCTAAACCCTAAACCCTAAACCCTAGGGTCTGGATTAGGTCGACTTTCTGCAAGCCTGGCTTAGGCCCCGGCATCGGGGATCTGTCGTGGCGCACGAGTGGAGCATCAGCATGTCCTCGGACCCGAGGATGAGGGGTAAGGTAGGGGCCTGAATGATTAGAATGGGCTTTTGGGGTTCCTTTAAGGGATCCTCTTAAAGGGTTCTACAAGGGTTACGATGAGGGCTCTATTAGTCTATGATGTAGGGGCCTTAATAAATTTAATCGGGTTCCGGGCTCCTTTTACAGTGTGAATATAGTAAGGAACCCTAAGGAATAATCTTGGTAATTGTTCAGGCCCCTATAGAAAGGTGATAGCTTGAAGTCTTAGAGTGGCTGGCGGCCTAAAGGGTACGACACCCCCCCAAAAAAAGGAAAAGCGAAACCCCAAAGGATTCTGGCTTCAAGCCTAGGGCTTGTCAGGTTTACGACATAAGAGGTATCCTTAAATCCTAAACTTTAAACCCTAAACCCTTAAACCCTAAACCGTAAACCTTTATACCCTGCCCCAAACCCTAAGAGACCCTACACCCTGAACCCTTATGAGCTTTCATTGAATTTAAGCTTTCAGCCTTTATGGGGCTTAAGGTTTAGGGTTTAGGGCTTAGGGCTTAGAGTTTAGGGTTTAGGGCTGTGGGCTTAGGGTTTCGGGCCGCGAAACCCTTGCAACCCCGACCCGGAGCTCGAAACGCGTCGCAAGCGAAGTCTCGCCGCGGCTATGGAAGTTGAACCCTACACCCCAAAAAGGGTTTAGGGATTTTAGGGTTTAGGGTTTAGGGGTTTGGGTTCAGGGTTTAGGGTTCCGGGTTCAGGGTCTAGGGCTTAGGGTTCAGGGCTTAGGGTTTAGGGTTTAGGGGTTTAGGCTACAACCTTACTAGGTTCCCCCAGTAGCCCCTTAACAATAAGGGTACCCTTTTGTCCTACTGTTTGGTTTTAATAGGGGAGGCAAAAGGGTACTACTGGGGAACCTAGCTTAGCAAGCGAAGTCTCGTCGTGGCTACGGAAGTTAAACCCTACACCCCAAAATAAGCTTAGGGAGCTTAGGGCTTAGGGCTTAGGGTTCAGGGTTTAAGGGTTCAGGGGGTTTAGGCTACACCCTTAAAGCCAGCGAAGTCTCGTCGTGGTTGTGGAAGTTCGGCCCGTAGAGTGCCTGGCCCTCCGCCTCGGTCAGGGTCTTCACCTTCCAGAACGCATCGGCCACCTGAAGGGAGCCGAGAGTCAGGAGTTTTAGGGTTTAGGCTTTAGGTTTTAGGGTTCAGGGTTTAGGGTTTAGGGCTTTTGGATTTTAGGGTTCAGGGTTCAGAGTTTTGGGGTTTAGGGTTCAGGGCTCAGGGTTTAGTGTATAGGGCTTTAGGGTTTTAGGTTTCGCAGAGTTTTAGGGTTTGGGGTTTAGGGTTTAGGGTTCAGCGTTTAGGGTTTAGGGTTTAGGGTTTTAGGGTTCTGGGCTTAGGGTTTAGGGTTTAGAGCCAAGAGTTGAGCGGCAACCCCATCAAGGTCACGATAAAGGTTGCCCGGTTAAGTCAGGGTTACCATAACAAGGTTCCTATTAGGGTGACACTCAAGGTACCTGTGTAGGTAAGGGTTGCTGTAAGGCTCCCATTCGAGTCACTATTGGGACTTCAGGCCATTACCAGAAATGTCTTCGATTTCGTTGGCATTACTGTAGGGGGTTGGGGCCGGCGGTGTGCACTAGGTTTGGGTTTAGGGTTTAGGGTTTAGGGTTTAGGGTTTAGGGTTTAGGGTTTAGGGCTTAGGGTTTAGGGTTTAGGGTTTAGGGTTTAGGGTTTAGGGTTGATCTTAACCTGAATCGGGAATGCAATCCCAATGGAAAGGCCTTCAGGCTCCAATTCTGAACCATAAACCCCGAACGCCCCAAACTCTGCAAGCACTCCTGACACTCTTCAACACCTCGACCGGAAACCTCAAGACCGTAAAACAAGCTAAAACAAGTGCCAAACCTACAGCCCTCAACAAATCAGGATAAGAAGCCCAAAACCTTACAGCCTCTAAACACCCTAATTAAACCCACAACGCCAACTCAATGCCCTAAAAAAACCGAAGTGCCCAACCAGAAATAGAAGCAAAGCCCCTAAACGCCCCAAACCCCTCCCATAAGCCCCTAAGCCCTAAACCCTAAACCCCCGACGGCCCTGCTTTCTGTTTCATCTCGTCACTCAGCGTGCGCCACTCCCGCCGGACTCGCGGCTTGTTTCTGAACCTCGGCTTTCTTGTTGAACTTGAGTTTAGGGTTTAGGGTTTAGGGTTTAGGGTTTAGGTTTAGGGTCTAGGGTTTAGGGTTGTGGGGGTAGGCTCCAGGGATTTCGAGCATCGGGCTTAGCGCTTGAGGTTAAGAGTTGTCTACATGATGTTTAGGCTTAGTACTGCGGGCTTAGGGTTTAGCCGGGATCGGGACTGAAGCCAATATGAGAACAGCTGTGGCCTCGGAAGCGGATTCTGGACCACAAGAAACTGGGTGAAAAGAGAAAGAGTTCCTCTGTGAGGGCTTAGAACTGCTTTGCAAATACAGGCATGCGGGTTCCTACTATCAACTTCATCACCTTCGCCTTGTTCAACATCATGCATACCACCACCGCCACCACCACCACCAGCACCACCATCAACAAACAGCACAGTACCGCGCATCATTGTCCGTCATCTCTGTTAAACCCAATACAACTAAAACAAGTGCTGGAAGCAGTAGCGCTACCAGTACCCGATCATCCGCTATTGCAGTGAGGACTACTACGCTGCCCATTGCCGCGACCACGACTATGTACAACTGATATAGGGGACTTAATAGTTGCAACAGGGTTCCGGGTAGCTTATAGTATATCGATCTATATTAAGGAACCCTAAGGAGTAAGAGTGGCAATTATTCCGACCCCTATCTAACGTTTGTAGATTCGTGCTGCCCAGAGAGTCCAATACTCTAACTAAGGAAAGCTCCTTGACTCACAACGTCATTTTCGGCCCTCCGCGAGTCCAGCAAATCAAAAAAAGCCTTGCTAACGGGGTATTGGACTCTCTGTGCACCATCTTTGAAGACGCGCTGAGAAAAAGCACTTTGGGGGGTGCTTATTATAGATCTACTGTAAGGTACTCGAAACCACCCTAAACCCTAAACCCTAAACCCTAAACCCTAAACCCTAAACCCTCAACCCGAAACCGCTAACAAAAAACTTAAGCCCCGAGGCTCCGGTGGGCCTCCCGGAAAGGAAGATCCCTCAACCCCTAGTCGTCCACCTGAATCGTCTGGCTCGGCTCTTGGGTTTAGGGTTTAGGGTTTAGGGTTTAGGGTTTAGGGTTTAGGGTTTAGGGTTTAGGCTTTAGGGTTTAGGGTTTAGGCTTTAGGTTTTAGGGCTTGGGGGTTAGGGAAGCCTCTCTATCCAAGTGCACCTACATTACGTGCTTCAATTCTAAACATCATGCGTTCACACACATGTACGAGGGGATTCGTACTCCTCGCGATGGAGCCCCCTGTATAAGATCTACACTGACGGTTTAGGGTTTAGGGTCCGCAAACCCCTGCGAACCCAAACCAAAGGCCCGAAAAATGAGAACGGCTGCCAATGGACCTGATCTTTTTGCCGTCGAACACCTCCCATCTTGCATTCGCATTTTCCTGCTGCTCACCGTCCCAGTTCCTGGGCGGACTTCAATCATTCGTGAACTTAGTAAGTAGGGTTACAACTACTGTAACTATTACACGAATGCTTCTAATCGCGCCCCCTCATTCCAAAACTATTCGTACTTGCTAGGATCCCTGATCCGTTTATCAGAACCTAAACGCCTACAAAAAACCCTCATAGTAATTCTTATATTATATAACCCCTGGAGGCGTATATACGTATCATGTTGTTCCCATCAGCAGGGCGCGGTGCTACGCTTTTGGGCTCCACACAGTCTTACCCTCAAGTGCTCTGAAAAGGGTTTAAGGGTTTGGACGTTGGGTTTAGGGTTGAGGGTTTCCCTAACCTCACAATTCGCGGCGAAACCTCGGAGCCGTTGGATTGATGTTGTTGTTCCTCTGTTCTCGCAGCCATACTTTGGGGATTTGTGACAAGGCCTGTACCTCCCTTCACATTTCCAATTCAGTCATGCAGCACTCGCCCAAGTACAATGGTCAGGAGTTCGCAGCCCTAAACCCTAAACCCTAAACCCCAAACCTCGGGCATGTGTGTTTTCGCTGGCCTTTGAAGTTTGGTGCTGGAGCCTCAAGATGGAGATTCTTCTAGGAGCCCATGGTGTCTCAAGACATCTGGGGTTCACAGCAACCCAAATTCGTGAGTGTTCAGAACCCATCAAAATTTTATGTAACCCCATGAACGCAATGATGGAAACCCACCTACAGACACCTGCACGTGTGCACGGATATATACACATGTGTATGTATGTGTGTGTGTGTGTATATAAACACACACACACACACACACACGAAGTCGCGTTCTTATACAAAACCCACTTGTACTAACACCAGTCAACATGCAAAAGGAGCCCTGCATGCAATTACCACAACTACAACCGTTAGCATGGACCCTACCTTGTACATACTCATACATATACGAATAGAATAGAATAGAACAGAATAGAATAGACTAGAATAGAACAGGAAAGACTAGAACAGGACAGAACAGAAAAGACCAGAATAACATAGAACCTAATCCGATAGATTGTAGTATAGTATACTTACTATATTGCATTATGCTATATTACATGAAAATATGTGCTAAAAAACGGAAATGGAGAGCGAGCTGCCTCTTCTTGTGTTTCTTGTACGCTTCGAGCCTGTCCTCGCGGGCTTCTTTCGGCGGGTTTCGGGTTTGGGGCTTGGGGCGGTTTGGGGCTTAGCTTAGGGTTCAGGGTTTAGGGTTTAGAGCTTAGCGGTTTAGGGTTTAGGGTTTACTTAAGGATTTAGGGGTTCAGGGTTTACGGGTTTCGGGTTTACGGGTTAGGCGTAGGGCATCGGGGCCTTCGCGTCTCTTAGGATCTCGGATTCAGGGCTTGACTTTTATAGGCTCCCCCAATATAGGGGCCTTAATGATTAGGGTTTCGGGTATATTATACTATAATTATCATAAAAAAAAACCCCAAAACCCTATTCTAACTATTAAGGCCCTACATAGTACGACTCATGCTGCAGACCCCTATCTTCGATGCCAAACGTCCCCAGCCCGCTGAGGTCGGTTTCGGATTGAAAAATTTAGGTTTAGGGCTTACGGTTTAGGGTTTAGGGCAGTTTAAGGGAAGGGAGATGGGGACAAAGCAAGTAAGGCTGTAAGTACCAGGCTACCAAAATCAGGGCGGGTGGGTGATAAGTAGATGTGTTCACAGTAATTCTAACGCTTCGTACTCAGTCCCCCGTTCTGCTAAAGTCGAAAGCTGGGACCCAGGTCAGTGGGGTCATTTCAAACAAGTGTCCTCGTGTACGGGATTCCTAGTCCTAGCTAATATAGAGGCCTTAGTAATTCGAATCGGGTTTTGGGGTATATAATACTATCGTTATAATAAGGAACCCAAATATAGTATAGGTAATTCTTCAGGCCCCTACATTAACCCTAGCTAGCCTCCTCTCACGTTTCGAAGACCCCGACGAAATGCCCGGATCGACAGCGATTTCAGGTGCACCGATCTTGGCTTAGGGGAGTATTATTATTATTAGTTTACTGTTAGATTAAGATGTTTATACCTATCGTTATTAGTACGTAATATCAGTACGATTATTGCAATTATTCTCATTGTATTTATGTTTTTGCTATGTTAATATCTTCATACCCATTATTATTAGTATTATCAATACTATTAGTACCCGCATTCTTGTTATAAGCCAGACACTAAGATGCGGTTTTGGGCCCAAGTAACCAGCCTAAGGTTTTGCTGCAATGCGAACAAACCATACTATATCACGAGTTATACAGGGCCCGTTGCAGCGAAGAGAGAGAGAGAAAGAGAGAGAGAGAGAGAGAGAGAGAGAGCCACAGCAATAGAACTCAGCCCGACTCTCCCACACCGCGAAATCCGCGAACCTCCATGAACTCCCCACATCCTATAAGGCCTAAACCAGGTGACGGTAACCCCTAAAACCGCAACCCCTAGAACCCCGCAAACCATAAACCCTACAAGCCCTAAACCCGAAACCCTGCAAACCATAAACCCTAAACCCTACAAGCCATAAACCCCCTATAAGCCCCAAACCCTAAACCCTAAACCCTACAAGCCATAAACCCCCTTTAAGCCCCAAGCCCTAAACCCTAAACCCTACAAGCGCTTAACAGTTGAACTTGAAAGCCTCCCAAGGGTCCTAGACCCTCGAGCCTCACGTCAAAACCCTGCAGCCCTTGCAGAAACCCATACCCTCAACCCAAGAAGAAGCTTATCAAACGCAAGAAAACCCTGACAGGGTTTAGGGTTTAGGGTTTAGGGTTTAGGGTTTAGGGTTTAGGGTTTAGGGTTTAGGGTTTAGGGCTTAGGGCCTAGAGGGTTTGCAGGGTTTAGGGTTTAGGGTCAGCGCTGCCCCTCCTTGTGCCACTGCCACACCTTTCCCATGCCCCACGCTTCCTGCGCTTCCGGCTGGCCCTCCACCTGAGCTGGAGTTTTCTTAGGTTCAAGGGCTTGGGCTTTAAATCCTTTCGGGATATTATCCCGAAAACCTTAAACCCTAAACCCGAATAGGATTTAGTCGCTTGCACAGTAGAATGGCTGAGGGTGAAACATGTTTCAAAGGGTTTCTGAATTTGAAGACCCTAAACTAAACCCTAGAACCCTAAATCCTAAAACCTAAAACCCTAAACCCTAAAAGAACCTAAGACCCTGACATCCTAAAACCTAAAACCCTAAACCCCTAAAAACCCCTAGAACCCGAATATTGCGGAGCCGCTTGGGGTTCAAATCTCAGGTTTTTAGGGTTTAGGGTCCAGGGTTTAGGGGTTTGGGGTTTAGGGGTTAGGGTTCAGAGTTGTAGGGTTTAAGGTTTAGGGTCTATGGGGCTAGGGGGTTGGGGGGTTTAGGGTTCAGAGTTTAGGGTCTAGGTTTTAGGGTTCAGAGTTTAAGGTTCAAAGTTTAGGGTTTAGGGCTCAGAGATTAGGTTTCAAAGTGTTGGGTTTTGGGTTCATAGTTGTAGGGCTAAAGGTTTAGGGTTTAAGTTTTTTGGGTTTTGGGGTTTACGGTTTTTGGGGGGTTTCGGGATTCTGATTATGGTGACGTTGGCTTTGTGATGATTGTTCCTTGGTTGTACAACGACCGCTCCAAACCTGAACCACAGACCCTCTTGTGGCTTTCGGTAGTAGGGGACTAATGTATAGGGTATAGGGTTTAAGGTTTAGGGTGTGGTAGGCGGCTACTGTTTAGGGCGTGCTCTTCGGGGCTCAGGGTTTCAGTGTTTAGCTTTCCCAAAGACCTCGAACATCTGCATTCGTAGGTTGCTGCTGGGCTGGGGACTTACTTCCAATAGCCACGGTAGTGCGAGAGGAGTCACAGCAAAAGAGCGAGGAGAAGGAAAAGAAGAACCCTGAAACCCTGAACCCTAAACCCTAAACCCTAAACCCTAAACCCTAAACCCCAAACCCTAAACCCTAAACCCTAAACCCTAAACTGTTGGAGAAGAGTCTGAAGCCCTCGGGCCTCAGATTTTGTGGCATTTGAAAACCCACCAAGACCCGTAAAGCACCGAAAGCCCATAAAACTTTTAGGGGTTTAGGGTTTAGGGTTTAGGGTTTAGGCTTTTAGGGCTTCGGGGTTAGGGTCGCCATAAACCCCCTAGAACCCCGAAACCCTATCCCCTAAACCCTAACCCCTAAACCCTAAACACGAAAACCTCTTTGAAACCTACCAACGTTGATTCTGCGGAGGCCAGGGGCCAAGGAAGGTGACCCGAACCGGCGAACCAGGAACTCCGGAGATTTCCTCAAATTCGGACGTTTAGGGGGTTCAGGGTTCAGGGTTTAGGGTTTCGGGCTTAGCGCCACGCGGATTTGCTCAGGAGGAGTGGGAAATGAGGTCTTAGGGGGTCTCTGAGTCCATGCTGGCCTAGGGAATAGGGTTCCTTTACGGGTTCCTTTAACGGGTCTATGAGCACTACCATCAGGAGTACTAAAGGGTTCTACGCTGCATAAGGCTCCTAATTTTAACTAACACAAAGGCTTGGTGCAGATTAAGGACAAGAGGACCGTATGACCTCGACGAGATGAACATAAAACGCTAAACAAGCCTGACTGAACCTTGAAACCCTAATCGCATGCTGAGCCGATAGGGACCAATGCCAACCCTCAACTCCCTAAACCCCATCTCCTTCAATCCCTGAGCCGTAAACCCTAAACCCTCGATCACCTTTGCAAGAAATCACCCCCGGTTTAAGTGGGCTTCTACTTCGAGCCCAAACCGGAAAGCCCAAGCGGGCAGAACATCCCGTAAATCAGGTGGCACTACTCACAGGGAAGCCCTAAACCCTAAATCATTACCTATACTATATTTTGGGGGTTCCTCATTGTAGTTATAGCCTCTTGGGCCCCGAAACCCTATTTTAATTAAGGCCCCTATATTCCTATATTGACCCCTCAACCCTGACCGGCCCTTCTGGGCTAGGGCTCGAAGCTTGAGGGTGGGGATATAGAAGATGGTACACGGGCCGTAACCGCTCTGACAATTCCAACCAGGTGCCGCAGGCACAGTATACCGCAACGATAGCGGGGGGGGGGGGCCATAAAACCATATTTTGAACTAGGCGCACCCTCAGACAAATATGAAAACTACATGTTCTGGAGAACCTCGAAGACGGTGCCGCTTCTGGGCGAGTCGACTGGGCTTCAATCAGGGGACATAGTGAAGTGAAGCCCCAAAACCACACGGTTTGAGGCTCACGCTGGTGTTTACTGTAGGAGCCGTGACAATTGGATAGTTTTCTAAGCTAGGGCCCCTTTTTAGGTCCCAAATAAAATACGGCCCCTTATACAAAGGACCCTGAAAGAGACCCTAGTCTAGAGAACTACCCCATCAGCGCCGGGTCTGAAAGGGCCTTTCGAAGCGAAGCTTAAGCAGCAGGCGGTTTAAGGCTTACCGTTTAGGGTGTGAGTGCCAGGGTCCAGGCCCTGAAATGCGAATAGTGTGGGGGCCTTGATAACCAAAATAAGGTTTGGGGCTTCTTCATAGTACATGTATAATAAGGAAACCTAACTGTATTCTTGGTAATTGTTTTGGCTTCTATATTCTGAGGATCGGCATGATGAGAAGCAATCTTTTCTTACAGCCCCATAGAGCTGTGGAAAACATCAATTCTAGTGAAGAAGGCCCCGATATAAAGCTGAAGCAATCCATACAACAACAAACTAAAAACCTTTCAAACGATACGAGCAAAAGACAAAATCTAATCGCCGAGCTGTTGTCGGGCTTGGGGGTCTTTCCGGGTGCTGCAAGGGTCTCTTTAAGGGCTGCGATACGGGTTTACATAAGATTCTGTAAGGGTTCTAGAGACCCTTGGGCTGTTGCTTGGAGCTTGTGGTTCGAGCCGTTTAGGCGATTTGAGATTTAGCGTCTGGAGCTTTAGCCCAAGCTTCTGCAAGGCCACCCAGCACAGGCCCAGAACCACCAGGAGACCAGTGCCAGTGAGGATTTTCCTGCCAAGGCTTCCAGCGCAAATGGAGAGGGATTCTTAATCTTAGGTGACATTTTTCCGGGCCTTAAATCCAGGATTCAAACATTCTAGTACTACCCTTTCAAGTTTGGTATGCCCAAGGCGACAACGGTGGTTTAGGGTTGACAAGTTTTATCCGAATAGACTGAACCCCGCCCCCCTGAACTAACTTGGAATCCCAAATGGCCCCCAGCATCCGGGACAGCAGGGTTTAGGGTTTAGGGTTTAGGGGTTTAGGGGTTTAGGGTTTAGGGTTTAGGGGTTTAGGGTTTAGGGTTGAGGGGTTTAGGGTTTAGGTCTTACCGGCTCCCAGGTTTGGAGTTGAGAAGCTCTGCGGCCCGGGGCTCAGGGTGAATGGCCACCCACGACAGGTGCAGGAATCAACATACATTTCCTAAACTCTAAACCGAGGGTTGAGGGTTTAGGGTTTAGGGTTTAGGGTTTAGGTCAAACCTAAACCCTACACCGAAAGCCCTTAAAGCCTTGGCCCTAAAACCCTAAACCCTGGACCCTAGCACGCTCAACCCTAAACCTCACCTAACACGCTCAACCCTCAACCTAAACCCCTAACGCCCTAAACCCCAAACCCTAAACACCCTAAACCCTAAACCCTAAATCCCCTAAACCCTAAACCCTAAATCCCCTAAACCCTAAACCCTAGACCCCTTAAGCCCTAAACCCCAGACACGCGCTCCTGCAGTGGGGACGCTGCTGGTGGCCGAAGCCAGAGCCGGGCTGCTCTTCATCGGAGGTGGGAAGCTGCTGCCTTTAAGGGAGAAGGTTTAGGGTTTAGGGTTTAGGGTTTAGGGTTTAGGGTTTAGGGTTTAGGATTTAGGGTTTGGGGTTTGGGGTTTGGGGTTTAGGGTTTAGGGTTTAGGGTTTGGGGTTTGGGGAAGGCTGAAACCCTCAACCCTAACCACGAAACCCTGAACCCTAAACCCTAAACCCTAGTTTGGGCTCTGGATCTTCGGTGCGAACTATCTCATAAGTGACAGAAGCAACGCTCCTACACCAGCTGAGCTCCCTGAACACTGAACCCTAAATCCTAAACATTCCTAAACCCTACCGAAACATTCCGAAAGCCTAACCTCGAAACCCTATACTTACTTCCCCAATAAGCCAGGGAAGTACACAAGAACCCCAAAAGTTTAAAGGTTGGGTATTGGGGAACTACGTATAAGCATTTCTGAACCAGCTGAGGTGCATCTGGAACATCTTCTTGCCTTCGGATACCTCGCCCGAGGTTGCAAAGGACCAATTCAGCCCGATCTGGCTGCAGCAGGTTTAGGGTTTAGGGTTTAGGGCTAAGGGTTCAGGGTTTAGGGGACCATAAGGACGCTCCTGATTGCGACATGCATTAAGGCTTGCATTAAGGTTTTGGGGTCTAGTGTACGAAGCGAGATCTAACTTTGAGAAACCTGCCCCCGGCTCTGTATCTACCAAACACAACCCGGAAACCGAGCCTGCCCGAGATCGGGACACAGCGGGCAAAACCCGAAATGATAAGACCCTCAACTCCCTCCGAAACCCTAAACCCTAAACCCTAAACTCCCTCCGAAACCTCACTCCTTGCCCCCGAAAGCTCTTATATAATCCCCAGGCACGTACATGCTAGGAAGGCTGAAGATCCCAAGCTTGAAGCCTTCAACCTTAAAAGCAAAAAACTGACCCTCATAGTAGGCACTATAGTAGCCCTCAAATTATGGCAATTGTAGGCCATTAACAAGTTTTAGACACCCTTGCAGGACCCCTTAAACCCTTCTAAGTCCCCGCAGAAATCCCCAGAGCAACTTCAGCTTCGAGCAGCCCTTACAGTGGCCCTTGTAGGGCGCCTTCAACCCTAAACCCTAAACCCTAAACCCCTAAACCCAAACCCCTAAACCCCTAAACCCCTAAACCCCTAAACCCTAAACCCTAAACCCTGAACCCTAAACTACCAGAGCCCCTGTTTTGGTCGAGTGCTGTCGGGGCGTCGCCTCTCCTGGGCGATAAGATAGGGAGGCCTGTGCCTCGGGGCCCCTAGGGCCCGTAAGTGGCCTAGAGCCGACAGTGTACATCCCGCAGAAAGTAAGGAGTTTAGGGTTTAGGGTTTAGGGTTTAGGGTTTAGGGTTTAGGGTTTAGGGTTTAGGGTTTAGGGAGGAAGTATGGAAGGGTTTCGGGTTTAGCTTTTTGGGGGTTTAGGGTTCAGGGTTTGGGGGTTTAGGGGTTGAGGCTTTAAGGGTTTCGGGCTTGGGTTTTGGAGTTTACGGCTTAGAGCTAGCCTTTGCTCTTAGGATCTGCTCGGGCTTTGGGCTTGAAGTTTAGGGCTTTGGGTTTATGATGCGTTCGGGTTTAGGGCATAGTTGTGTGTGTGTGTGTGTGTGTAGGGTTAAGTTACATAGTGTTGCCTTCAGGACCGGGTACATTGGGCGCTGGAGGTGTACAACCCTTCCGCGAGTAGGTGGAGCATGGGGTCCACACCTATTTCGCGCCCCAAACCCTGAACCCATCTGAACCTAAACCCTAAACCCTGAACCCTAACCCTAAAACCCTCAAGAAAAAAAAAACTTAAACCCTGAACCCTAAACCTAAAACCCTCAAGAAAAAAACAACTAAACCCTGAACCCTAAGAAGCCTAAACTTTGGGCCCTAAACCGAAAACCTAAACGCCGCACAAACCGGTCGGGTCGCAGTAGTTTCGACCCCTCTGGCCCGGTTTCCCAGAGACTCCAATATCCCTTAATTAAGGAATATACCTTAAATTATAGTAGGATCCCTAATAAGATTTAAGGTATATTCCTTAATTAAGGGATATTGGAGTCTCTGGCTTCAGGGTTTAGGATTTTTTTTTGAGGGTTTTGGGTTCAGGGTTCAGGGTGCAGGGTTTAAGGTTTTCTTCTTAAGGGTTTTGGGTTTTGGGTTCAAGGTTCAGGGTGCAGGGTTTAGGGTTTTCTTCTTGAGGGTTTTGGGTTCAGGGTTCAGGGTGCAGGGTTTAGGGTTTCCTTCTTGAGGGTTTTGGGTTTAGGGTTCAGGGTTTAGGGTTTAGGATTTTTTTTCTTGAGGGTTTTGGGTTCAGGGGTTTAGGGTTTAGGGTTTAAGGTTTAGGGTTTAGGTTTCACAGGTTTCGCAACGGCTTTTGGATCAAGGTGCTACCGACTGGCAGTTCCTGTTTGGCGGTTGAGAACGTTCAGACGTTCAGGGTTCAGGGGTTCAGTGATTAATGTAGGTGCCCTAATAATTAGAATAGGGTTTTGGGCCCATTATACTATAATTAAACTAAGGAACCCCAAACTAGTATAATGGTATTCATTAAGGTCCCTATATTAGGGATTCGGGCCGCAAGCAATTTGAACAGGAAGGAAAGAGCTTGCTACTCTCCGTCCTCAACACTATACCCCTTGTTGGGGGTCGATTGACTCTCGGAGTCTCTCTGACATGTTCGACGCATGCCGGATGTACATCACCAACCCTAAGCGTCCTAATCCTAAGTCAACTGCACTTGTTGCAGCAGTAAGTTGCACAAGGTACGAATTATCTTTGAGCCAGCTGTACAGGCCCCAGTGTAACAAAAGTAGGCCCTGACCCAAGGGGTGTTCTTTAGGCGACATTGGCAACTGGCGACAGTGACGGCGTTCTTCCGTGGCTATGGGTTTCTTCGGTGCCATTTCCGACCAATTCTGAGAAGCTGCATGAGAAATAACCCTAAACCCTAAACCCTAAACCGTATTTCGCCCTAGGGCGGATGATAGCCTGAACTAACCCTTAGCTCGGCGTCTAGAGGAGCAACGGCAAGTAGAGGTGAATGAAGCCTTAGACCACGGCCTTCGGGGCGCCATGCACCCCAAATATAAGGTTTAGGGTTTAGGGTTCAGAGTTTAGGGTTTAGGGTTTAGGGTTGCTTTGGGGTACATTTGTACCATGTTCATAAGAAGGAACTCTAATGGAAGTCTCAGGAATAACACTTGTAATTGTTCAGGCTTCTATATTACTGTTCGCTCTTGGGCCAGAAGTTCGCCTGGATGCAATGCCACAGCTGACGATTCTGTCAGGTGTGATGCTATCAAGCAATTTGCATACCACCAGGCAAAAAACGATGCTCGACTGTCCTGTCCAGTCAGCATCCACGTCCTTCGGATGGACACCACACCACTCCAAGTTTCTCGGTGGCAGACGCTCCCTCCGAACGTGTTGTGCTGAGGGGGGACGGGTCCATCCGAACTTCGAATTCGGCGAATTAATTTGGATTAAAGCTTTCTGGCGAAAGGTCCGACATACACAAAAGACAACAAGAATCCGAAGAGTGTGTGTTTGGGTTGCAGGCCTCCAAAGCTCAAAACCAAGCACACTAACGGCTCACTTCAGCCACAGCCCAAGCCGCCGTGCTGTCACCTCGACTGCTGCAAGGCTCGCCGGCGGAAAAGGGCCCAAGAGAGAAATCGCAACTCTGTAGGGTTAGACCCTAAACCCTAAACCCTAAACCCGTAACTCCAAACCCCAAACCCCAAACCCCAAATGCCTAAACCCTAAACCTCCAACCCTGAACCCTAAACCCCCAAAAAGCTAAACCCTACGCCTTTCTGGGACCGTCTCGGGTTTGGGGGTTCTGGGGGGGTTTAGGGTTTAGGCCTTCGGGGCCTAGGGATAGAGACATTGAAGATGGCCATAGAGTTGGGCTTCTCATACAGGGGCCCTCATAATTGGAATAGCTCCTTTTGGGGGAGGGGGGGGTTTAGGGTTTAGGGTGTAGGGCGCATCTAATAGGGACGGCGTGGTGCATTTAATACTGCAAGTGTTTATAGCAAAATTATTACGGGTACACTGCTTGAAATTGCTCAGACCCCTATACATATATATATATATATATGGGTTTACAAGACCTTTCCTGATGACGTACCACCTTAAAGCGGCCTCTAATATTAACGGTAGCTCGTGTCCTTATGTTGCCAGGCCGCCATGGGTGACCTCAGGGAATCCTCAACAGGTTTACTTTCCCGCTTGTGCTCTCAAATTCTTGGAGGTCGCCTGCGTACTGCACCTGGCCTGATGTGCGTGTACCAGGGTGGTTGAACCGCAATGAGGGCATTTGCCATCAACGACCGAGTGGAAACTGTGCCGAGCCCAAACTACAGTTGATGATATGTTAACCTGCATTACCCATAAATTCCCAGAATTAGTTTAGGGTCCTTCAGGTAATGCAGGATCTATATCATCAACAGTAGGAAACGCTGCCGCCGTATGTCGGTGAGGCTTCTAAGGATGCAATTGGGCTAGGGTTTGCGGTGTGTTCCCTTTCGTTTGCGTGGTCTCACCTGACTTCGCCTTGGCCCCTTGCGGCTTATCTTGATGGACGACCTCGTCGTGGTCATGCCCCCAGCAACCCCCAACCCTCAACCCTAAACCCTAAGCCCTAAACCCCCAAACCCCAAACCCTAAACCCCAAACCCTAAACCCTAAACCCCTAAACCCCTAAAACCCTAACCCCCACACCCTAACCCCGAAACCCTAAACACAAACCCCCAACCCTAAACCCCAAACCCCAAACCCTAAACCCCTAGACCCCTAAACCCTAAACCGTCAGCACCACCAAAGAGCGCAACAAAAAGCCTTCAACCTTGGAAGCTCGGGGTCTTCCGTAATGTAGGGGCCTTATTATTTCGAATAGGATCTTCGGTTATATCATTACCATAATCAAAACAAGGAACCCCAAAAAATAGTGTTGGTAATTATGAAGGCTCCTATCTTAACAGCAGTTAAGATCTTTAGAGCACCGGCCCTTTGGGGAAGAA